GGCTGATTTTTTGATTTATTGTAGAGATGAGGTCTCACTGCCCAGGCGGGTCGCAAACCCGCGGGCTCAGGCAGTCCACTCACCTCAGCCTCCGAAAGGCACAGGATTACAGGCTGAGCCACCGAGCCCGGCTATTGTTTTTATTTTTTGTAGAGACAACGTCTCACTATGTTGCTTGAGCCCAGTCTGGTCTTGAACTCCTGGGCTCAAGCAGTCCTTCCGGCTTGGCCTCCTAAAGTTCTGGGATTACAGGTGTGAACCACTATACCCGGCTTTTTATAGAAATTTTTACTCAGCATCTTACATTTTAAGAGCAAGTCAGTGAAACTGAGGATTGAAACACATTCTAGAGAACCAGCGCCACTGCTTTGGGGGACACGCAGGAGCCACTGTCACCCCAATGCAGGCCAGGTTACCCCAACGCAGGCCAGGTCACCTAACGCAGGCCAGGTCCCCAGCCTCTAGTGCAGTTCTCACCCAGGGTCTCAACCCCTGGCTTCCATTCAGCCCTCAGGTGGCCAGCATGTGGTCAGGAAATGGTGTTTGTCTGTGCCGGAAGCAGTTGAAACTATATGTTCTTTTGGGGATGAGAATTGCTTTTTGGCCAAATTAAATATTTTATTTATGTATTTATTTATTTTTGGTTTTTTTGAGTTGGAGACTCACTCTGTTGCCCAGGCTGGAGTGCAGTGGCACATTCACAACCACCCCAGCATCAATCTGCTGGGCTCTGGTAGCCGGAACTACAGGCACGTGCTACCATGCCCAGCTAATTTTTGATTTATTGTGGAGACCAGGTCTCACCAAGTTGCACGGGCCAGTCTTGATGCCGCAGGCTCAGGCAGTCCATTCACCTCGCCCTCCAAAGTGCTGGGATTACAGGCTGAGTCACCGAACCCAGCACAAATTAAATACTTGATCACATTTAAAAAACATTTACCAGCACGTGTATAAAAATGACGGTTCAAGAAATAAGTATAGCTGGGCTCGGTGGCTCAGCCTGTAATCTCGCGCCTTTGGGAGGCTGAGGTGAGTGGATTGCCTGAGCCCGCAGGTTCGAGACCTGCCTGGGACTCATCTCTACAATAAATCAAAAAATCAGCCGGGTGTGGTAGCGCATGCCTGTAATTCCAGCTACCTGGAAGGCTGAGGCGGAAGGATCACTGGAGCCCAGCAGGTCGAGGCTGCGGTGGCCGGGAGCAGCCACTGCACTCCAGTCTGGGTGCCAGAGTGAGACTCCAACTCAAAAAAAAAAAAGAAGTAAGTATAGCCTGTGGACACTTTTCCAGACTAACACCTAGACCTTCTCACACATCGAGGCTGTGTTCTTTATTAAAGAACACCACGCTCACGACATCTGCCATGCTTCTGGAGGGAGTTCACATCCTCAAGTGTGGGCAGACAGCCACGCAGGTCTTGAAAGCTCCCCCGTCACTTTCACCAGGGCACGGGACATTCCAGGTGGTGGTTTTATGTGGCTTTAGGGAGTTTCATGTCAACAGTAAATGTTTCTGTCAGGGGTGACCCTCTCACTCAGGCCATTTTTACTTGTGCACGTGACAAGAAGCTTGGTATAGCCAAGTTGGGTCTGTTGCGTGACATCATCGTGGCATTGCATCGGGTTTCCCATCAAGCTGTTCTCACAGAGCTTGTCAGCATTTCAGCAGCCTGACCTGCCATCTTCTACAAACACCAGCTGTCTCTCTCTCTTTCCCCCCCCCCCCATTGTGTGTCTTCCTGCAGAATTCATTAGGATGCACTGCACTTCCAACCCTGACTGGTGGATGCCCTCGGAGGAGCAGATCAACAAAGTGTTCAGCGACGCCGTGGGCCATGCCCGGCAGGGGCGGGCCGTGGGGACATTTCTGCACAACGGCGGCTCATTCTACGAAGGCATTGACCACCAGGCTTCCCAGGATGAAGTCTTCAATAAAAGTTCCCAGGATGGGTCTGGGGATTAGTGGACAGAACCTTTTTGTGGTAGCAGCCGGTCCTCTCAAAAGTTCCAATTGTGAATGTTCTGTCACCTGAGAGTCCAAAGCATGCCATTCTGTCATATATCACACAGGGCCAACTGCCACACGTCCCAAATGGAAATCCACTTTAGGGTTGTTTGGGATGTCTGTGGCACCTACAGCTGACTTGGAATATCCTATAATACAAAGAAAAAATTACTTTTGATTTTAAGAGAGAACTAGGCAGATGGTGAGAGAGGTCAGTGAGTGAGCTCCTTGTCATCTGTTTGAAATCTTCAAGCTCTACTTCCTGACTGGTCCCCAGGGAAGGTTGGAGTTGTGTGTCTGCCCAGGGGAGGAGGTAGAGACATGGATGTATCTTAGGGGACAAGGAACTAGCTTTCTCTTGTTTTCATTCAACTGAGTTGTCTTTGTTTTCCTAAGACTTGAATTTCTAGTTCTCAGCCAAGACGTAGGCTAGATGACACCATCTGCTCTCTACATCATCGAGTTCTATCACTAAAGACCTCTGCAAACAGCGAATCACCAGAGGTCAGCTGTTTTTCTGTTATTTGTACAAGAAAACAACCACCATATTGGTCAGGAGGGCACCATTTGATCTCTGGAGTTACAACCAGCAGTACTTTCTTGTTATGTTAGTCAAGGAACACCCAAAGATCCAAACCATGTTCAGATGCTGAGTTTTGTAGGTTCATAGGTCCACAGTTGCCACAGCCTTAAACTAGGTTTTGTTGACACCGTTACCAAAGGGACAGACTGGGGAGTTTGACTCGGTTCGTTGTCGTTGTTGAGTACAGTGAAGCTCCAGCATGTGGTGTGGCCGATGGCACCAGCCAGTTGGCTGGGGGTTCTGGCATTGGATACGCACAGCTCTGAAGCCGTTTCGGCAGTGCTGCGGTGGGCTTTTCATTTCTCTGAAGTTTGAGGGGCTTTCTCTGCCGAGTTGATCTTTAGAATTTGTGTGGAACTTCTGTTTCCTGTTGTTGTTGATGAAGGTATTTTCCTCCCCGTGCTGTGTGCCTCCTCCTCCCCCGTGTCCCCCAAGCTGTGTGAACACGGGCCACCCCCATCACATCCCCCTCTTGCATCTGTGGATTTCCAGACGTGAGATTATTGGTGTCTTGTGCCTTTTCTTACCAGCGCTGACCATGGAGGTGCTAGAATCATCATTTCTGGGGGCTTCTGGTTGGTATGTCAGGACAGGCTTTCTCTACCAAACTGGTCCAGATGACTTCATCCTTTGTAGAACAGAGGGCTAGACGGACAGCGTTTATTGGAGGTGACTCATGTCATCGCAGGTGTGACTAGGGGCTTTGAAAATGGGTTAGAGACTCATTTCAAGTTTTTGAGCATCCATTTCTAGAGGGGCTTATTTTGCCACTTTTTGTCGACATAAATTCTAAATTATCCTTTATGTTTCACATTTAATCATCACCTACTAGATGCAAAGTCCTAGAAATGGCTTCTTCTGCCACTTTTGTTAGGACTATTCGCTTTCATCCATTGAAAAGTTTAATGTTTATGGAGATGGTCATTTGTCAGATCTGCTCAGTGGTGGAGGGAGAACTAATAATTCTAATTTGGACTAGTTAGCTAAGATTTGAAAGTGAAAATGATAGAGGCCAGTGGAATATTCTTGTGGCCACCATGAGACAATCTTTCTATCCGAGGAGGAAGGAGACTCCTTGAAGCTTTTCTAGAGGTCTGGGCAGTCAGTGTCTTACGAGGTCTTGGACAACAGGAAGTCTTTGTCAGAAGCCAACCCCCACTGCCAATAACCTCATTTGTTTTTCCATCTTGCCTTTTCTTAATTTTGCGTTGGCCTTAAATTAACCCTTACTGCTGACTGCATTTTCCTGGTTTTCTACAGCAACAAGATTTGATCACTGCTTTTAAGAACAAGCTTCCAGCCCTTATGTTGTTTTGGAAGTTGGAGGGTCCTGTGTGTTTCTTTGTATCTGAGTGTCACCTTTGAGCTGTGTGTCACACTGGTTTTCCCTGAGGGTGATGAGAGCACTTTCTGATGAGAGCATCCTCCCTCTCATCAGAATGGGCTGGCCATTTCTCCCGCACATGGGGAAACCAAGGCCCACAGACACGCCATCCTCAGCATCCCACAGCTTTCTGACCTCTCTCCTAGGCCCTAAACCTATGGTCCCCGCACCCAAGTCAGATCACTCTTTGTGTCATTGCCGGGTTCCTTTGGCCAAGGCCACCTCCAGACCCAGGCACTCACAGCCACTTAGACGATGAGACCACACCAACTCGGTCCTCTGGCTCTGCTCCTTGGGGCCACACCAGCTCAGTCCTCTGGCTCTGCTCCTAAGTGGCACTCACAACCACTTAGACGATGAGACCACACCAGCTCGGTCCTCTGGCTCTGCTCCTTGCTGCCGTTTGAGCCTCACCTTTAAGGCTGGTGTGTCTCTGGGCTCACGGTGGTTGCCTGCATGACCCCTGATTTTTAAATCAAGATCTTCAAAGGATGTCCGTGTATTTTTTGGTAAGGCTCATACAGCCTACACATAGCAAGGTTCAAGACTCGCCACGGAGGAAGGTGGATGCCACCATTGCTCTGTGAACCTTTCAGTTGATGTCTTGGGTGACCTGAAGGTGGTGCTTGTCTACTTGATTGGATTTTCTACATCCTTACCTGGCAAATGAACGCATTGCTCTCCCGAGAAACTTCGTCTCAGTTCAGCCTTGACAGCCCTCCTGGAGTCTCGTTAACATTGGTGTAAAATAGAGATAAAACAGTGTGGGATACAGCTGTGTCCCATCCACTTTATTGGCAGGAGAAGGATCCCAGGACTGGTCTGGTGGCAAAGCTAAACGTGGCGTTGCTGTCGGCGTCTGTAGTCCCAGCTATCAGAGAGCCCGTCCCTACAACAGTGGTGGTATGTCCTGTGCTTTCCAGATTAAGATGACATCACAGAGATCACGATGCCTGCCTTTCACAATGCACTGAAGCTCCCAGCTCAGGGCCAGTCGGGCTCAGCGTCACCCTGGGGTGATCTGTATCGGAGCACTTAGGCCAGGAGCCAGTGGAGGGTACCAGTATTCTGCGAATACTGATGTCACATTTCTTTCTCACTGTCTCAACAGTGTACTGTTCAAAATCTTGTAGGTTAGTGTTGAATTCTTCCAAGTAAAAACTAACATTTCAGTTTGCATCCTCCTTTTTTACTTAAAGACGTTAGCTCCAGCCCTTGAACCTGGGCATCATTTCCTTAGTGGTCCTTATTTCACCATAGCATTTAGGTGACTGTCACCGTTTACATCTCACAAAAGCTTCACCAGGAATGGAGAGGATGATATTCGAGTATTTGTAGGAAATGGCTGTCCTCTCTTTTGGTAGGGGAATTGAGACAGACGTCCGTGTTGCTGCTTCATAGCTGTAGAATTACTGGGTGATTGTATGTTGTGGGTCGTTCCTCATTCCTTCTGTGACAAATGCATTGACAGATAAGATGGCTGCATCAGGTTGATAAGGAGATAGAAGTTATTAGAAGAGAAGTCAGTGAATGGTAACATGCATCGATACAGAATGGTTTCTTAAAGCCAGTGGCTGTTCTGGCAGAGTCAGATGTTCACCCCAAATCTAGACGGTAAGTTCTTCACATCTATGTGGGCCATGGTTTCTACACTTCCCTGCCACTTCCCTGCTGTTGCTCTCAAGAGAATGGATAGATCATTATGTAAAGATGAAACGTGTCCTCTGTTGAGAAAAGCAAACACACCCTGCCCTCATTTGGAGTCTGTCCTTCAGGGTAGGCCCTGGAAGCTAGCCGTAATACCCACTGACTACCTCCTTCGTTTCTTTGTAGACACCAGTTGTTTTTAAGGTCTCATTCTTGGATAACTTTATTTTTAGGAAAGGTTTAAAATACACCTGCTCTTACTTGGTGCTCTGTCATTTCCAAGTGCAGATCTGTGTTAGTTTTTGACAGCTCTTGTCTTCCAGCTTTTAGAGATGTGAGAGAGCCTGATTCTGCACATATGGTGCCAGTCTTGCTGGTGTGTGCTCATGTGGCGACACTTGCCAAAGCTGTTTGGCAAAACATGTCAGACGGCGCGCTTGAGTCAGAACTCTCATGTAAATGTGTCTAAACGGCAGTGTGGATCATTACGATGTATTTTTGTAAACATCATGATGGCTGCTTTCAGTCCCATAAGTACTGGATCAAAATAACCACTTCACTTGGAATAATGTAGGGAAACGTCACCCTCCCAACTGTTAGTCCTCTACCAAAGGTGCTGTCAGCCGAGGGTGTTAGTTCTTCAGTGTCTGTTGTCTTTTGAGGGAAAGTTAAGAATTGATGTCAGATGACACACAGTGCAAACATAATAACCCGTCAGTTCTTGCCAGCTAGATGCAAAATGTAAGACTTCCTCTGATCTGTGTACACATCAGAGACGACCCTGACCCTCCACAGTGTGTTCAAGTGTGGGTAACATGAGAGGATGAGACTTGAGTCATCTAATGACCAGCCTGGTTTGCTTGACTTGAAGGCACAGAATTAGCAAGTCTTTGTAGTCATGGTGACCAGGTTCATTTTCCTCATGACTACCTAAAGCTGGCTGATGCGAGGACTGTGTTCGTGGGATCACAGTTCCCCAAATCACAATGAAAACGTACCTGGTAGCCAGTCTAATTCGAAAACCTGTTCATTCTCAATAATTGCACCAGTACAAGTGGCCACGTGTGCCTTGGCCACGTGGGAAACTATTTGGCCCCATTCAGGACCACCCATTGCAACAACAGCAGTAACCATAGCTAGTTTTGGTTGCGTTCTTGTGTGCAGGTGACTTCAGTAAGCACTTTAAGGCGTCCTCTCACTTTACTTCTCACAACCTCTCTCTGAGGCCATTACTGTTGTTATCCCCATTGTGTTGCTAAGGAAACTATCTGAGGTGATCAGCTGATAAGAGAATCCCTTTGGCCATGCTAAACAGAGCGACCAGCTTGTCTTTCCCCAGTAGCTGAAGCACAGTTAAAGCCCATCAACACCTTGGGATGCACTTGTTTTATTTATGCCATCGAAGGAAAGTTGATA